ACAACTTTTAATAGATTTATTATTTAAATTCGCAAAATTTTAATACGTAAAGTTACACAAAATTATCAGTTAANATAGGATAATCTCTATCTATTTGCGTAAATCTTTCACGAGATATTTTCTCACAAGTTTTTGATAGAACAACACTAACTGCTTCACACAATATTCGTGTGTTTGTTTAGAATAATATTAAGTGTTCCTCTCAGAATATTACTCACCTTACAATTGTACTTTTCCGAGGTAACTCGGAAAGCTTTTTTACTTCAAAAATATATTAATAACTATTTGACAAATCTTGTATCAAATGTCATAATACATATTATAATGGTTGTTCAGAATCGATACTAGTTTCAATCTATCAATGCATTTAATGGTGCTGTAATATCATACAGTTATTTTATTAACGTATATTTCTATGTTAGTGCGGACCCTCTATATCTTGTTATCTTTAGAATATGTTTAAAATATATTTTAAAATAATAAATTCGCTTAACGAGATGTTATTGTCTGCATTTTTAAATAATTTAATTTCGTAAATTAAATTAAACTGATTGAAAAGTAACGATTAGCTAGTAATTAAAATCAATTATAAAAACATCTTTTTCTTTCTGAAAGTTATTGCTAAGTCTCAAATATCAGACTGAAATAATTATGTTATATTCTACATGTGAAAATCTAGAAGTGATAGTGTTATTATTCAAGAACTCGAAAATAATCTACTATTTAGATGAATGAATGATGATATGCATTAACAAAAGAGAAAATCTCTGCATTTATTCTTATATTTATGTGCGAACACACATTATCATTATCAGCTGTTGCATATTGATGAAGTTCTTAAATTCTTATCTCAATTTATTCAATGTTTTAATTTATCTTTTAGAGAAAATGATGATACTAATAGGTTTAATCCAAATGGTCTATAAAGTTTGATAAAGTTCTTTGATAAAATTCAAAAACTTTGCCAGGAAAACATACATTCCTAATTTATTTTTATTATTGACGAATTTTTGTGATAAAATTGAAGGGATCGTCTCTATCTCTTGTTTTTACGATCCTTTTGCATAAAAATTTCATTTTCATTTACGATATTCTTACCTTCATGTTCATATTGCAATTGAATTTTAAGAATAAAATTCTATTTATTCATTTCGGATTCAATTCCTCAATAGTCATTGCAAAATTCTATTACGAAACAGATGAAATTAACGATTAACAGTGCCTTTGCTCAGATGAAATAACATTTGCATTAAGTGTCTTGACGCTTACTGGTATAATTCGGAAATATTTACGAAATTTTGTGATAGAGTTTTGAATAAATAAAAAATTTGTGATGAAAAAATGCAATTTAATTCATTTCGCTAAGATTTTTTACATGTATATAAAGTAGACAGTATTACTTTGAGTTTATCAGAAATTCACAATAGTAAAGAAGAATTTTAAGAATTCTAGAGCATAACAATATTAAATATAATAATAAATTAAATAATAAGTATTGCATTTTTATTTTGCTTTTTATTAAATTAATAGTCTATATTAAATTATTGTAAATTATTAAATTTTTTTCTTCACAGCCTGAAACTTCATTAACAAAATCAAAGTCAAAAATGTTTTAAAAATTTTAACTGTAGAAGTCGATTAATTTAAAATTGTAAATAGAATTATCATTTTATTATTTCTTTGTAGTTATTTTAAAATATTAAAAATATTAGATATCAATAATCAATTATTTGAATTGGTAGAATTTCCAATTTTTGGTTTACTCTCTTAAACATTTGTTCCCATATTTATTACAGGAATAAACTATTTCAGTTTGGAAGTAGTAGGATATATATTTTAGAAACTGAATATGCTCAAAAGTAGTGTGTTTCCAAAATTTGGTTAGTGAAATGACTACACAGGGTATCCATTTAAACATCTATCTAGGAGCAAAAGAGATCTATCTTTCCAGCATTGATTAGATTAGGTTAGGTTGTAGACTGTAGCGGACACAAATACACCGGCTATTACGTCACCATGACATGCACTCATTCCGCTGCTATTTGCAACTAGCAGAATATGCCACGCTGCTATTTAAGTGATGCAACTTGATGTTAAATTTATAGCATAACGAACCACAAATCCTTCAGTACATTTTATGGACTGACGAGGTACTTTTATTCCGGAATGAAATGTATAAAGACGTTACAACGAGTGCATCGTAGCGCATATTTTGTCCGGTGGTAGAAACACGGGGCAGAATGTGCGCTACGATGCATGCGACAAAGTACGACGCGTTTTACTCTAAACGTCTGATGTGGAATTTGGGGCGATTAGCTTCTTGTTCCGTATTGACGTTTTGGCATCAATTTCTGCAATCTTTTACAGTCACAGATTATTTTTACTTATGCTAAATTGTCTTAAATCTATTCCCTTATATTATTTTAGCGCTTGAACAAGCATGCATCACATGCATACGCGTATGTAATGCTTGAAAGATCTCTTTTGCGCTTGGATAGATGTTTAAGTGGACAGACACCCTGTATATCAGAGTGATGAAATTGTGAAAAATTGTATCAGCTTTTTATCTATTGTTGAATAAACTATTGTATATTTTTAGGCTATATCTGAACTTATCACATCGAAAAGTTCGCAAAAATGCTATGGAACAGCTTTCCAGTTAAATTGAATGTGGAATAATTGAAATAGCAAAGCTATAACTTCAAAAATAAGACATAAATGTTAAAAGATTTAGAGAAAATATGCTGTATAGGAAATGATTTGACTTGATACCATAAAATAGGATAATCTCTATCTATTTGCGTAAATCTTTCACGAGATATTTTCTCACAAGTTTTTGATAGAACAACACTAACTGCTTCACACAATATTCGTGTGTTTGTTTAGAATAATATTAAGTGTTCCTCTCAGAATATTACTCACCTTACAATTGTACTTTTCCGAGGTAACTCGGAAAGCTTTTTTACTTCAAAAATATATTAATAACTATTTGACAAATCTTGTATCAAATGTCATAATACATATTATAATGGTTGTTCAGAATCGATACTAGTTTCAATCTATCAATGCATTTAATGGTGCTGTAATATCATACAGTTATTTTATTAACGTATATTTCTATGTTAGTAAAAATATTACTTTTTTAAATCAAACATTTTATAAATATTTTATTTTATTGAGACTAATCCTAATAAACTTTAATTGATTTGGTTTGATAAGATATTGCAACGCAACATGTGGGCAATCTGGCAAGGGAATACTTCCCGGGGGACTTTTATGGGAAACTGGCCCCTATTTAGGTGTTAGACACGTTAAGAAAATCCGTAAAACTCTACTTGACCAGCCCTTTAGTAGGGCGTTAATAGTGTTCAGCGGTTTTATCCACTAATGGATTAACTTTAGTCAATGAATATCTCTAGTATATGTAGTTAATATGTTGTCACCAAACACGAGACTTATACTTCTTCTTATAGCTATGTCAGAATGCCATATTTTAAATGACATAATATTGGCTGCAAGAATTATAAATTTTAAAATTTTCTCTCTATTTTCTGTGATAAACTTATTATAATTTATGTTTATCCACGAACGAAATTCGCTTTACTTTATTATCTGTAAAAGTCTGTCCGTAATTCATTAGACCAACTCTTTATTCCAACCGTTAAAGTATATTATATGAATATTTGTAGCTTTGTTCAGTCACTTAAAACTTTTAAAATACATTTTGATTTATAGGAACAGCTTTTACTAGATAAAGTTTATCTCAGCATTAACAGAACTCTATCTACTGTTAACTTTTTTATCCATCATTAACTTTAAATTATATTTTGAGATATGTCTGCTTTGTGTATTTGTTAAAATTTTTTTTAAATATAATTGAAATTAAAGAATTATATTAAGTAAATTTGCAGCTTTTCAATTTCTAAGTTAAAATATACAGTTTTAAAAGGAGGATAAATTCGAGCAGATTTATTACATAAATATTTTTCAAGTTCTTACGTTCTTAAGCTTAAAATTACACTTGTAACGGATGTATTCATACTTTAAAATGGCAGATATTATAAAGTATGATAATATATACAATGCTATATTTTCAAATATGCAAGTACAATAATTTCAAATTTATTCGTGATGTAAAACTTAATTTATTTAATACCGTTTCTCTTGAATTATAAATTATATTTTTAAATAAAATATTAAACAAACTTTCATCTGATATTTAAAATGATTCTTCTATTACGTGTGACAAACAAATCGAAAAGTTTTTTTTGGTAATAATTTATATTAAGCTTCCCATTATTCATAAATTCTATTCTTGTAATGTATTTAGATGCAATAAATTAAAAAAAAAATTAAAAAATAAAATACAGAAAAAGAAAATTATGTATAGACATTTTCTATTAAAAATATTTTTCTTCAGGTGAGAATTATTTCACGATGAACATTAATTTTTCTTGTTATTTTTATCCTGACAAGAAAATAATTTCTCGCAGCGATATTATAATTATTCCATCATTTTTCCCGAATTTATTTCTCCATTTCGAAAAAAAATGTTGCTTTTTATCGTTATTATTATTGGCCACGTTAAATGACAGAGTATAATTATTTTGATAGGACAAGTTTTAAAACAATTTTTTAAGCGAATAGTTATTTAAAATTTAAATAGTCTATTGATTGACAAATGTTTTAAATACTTGTTAAATTTGCGACATGCAACTTTATTTTAGGAACATCTAAAATGGAATAAATTAATAAATATATAAAATATCGGAAAATATTTCGTTTATTATGTACGGTCAAACCTCGATATAGCGCTTTTCCATATAGCGCTACCCTCATAGAATACTCACGAACGGATATTCTCTTATATATAAAATGGAGAATGCTTCGATTTCTATGAATTACTAAGTGATTTTGTGTTGCATAAAGCATTATTACAAAACCACCTGACTTATAATCTGTCATTGTTTTATATAATTCTTATTGTTGAGGTTCTACGGTTTAGAGCCACATTCGATTTATTGCTAATTTCGGGACGTTCTATCGAGGTTTGATTGTGATTGAAAGTAATTTTCTTACTAATATGCGTTACTTTTGCCTCACTGATTACTTTGAATGCTAAAAAATTACCTTTTGGCTATTGACTTTCACATCATCTTATTGGAAACAGATAAGGTAATTAAGAACTTATTACATGATAATTACTTAGTTTGCAAAATAAAACGAGAGTTTATCAAGTTATAATTTCAGAATTTGCTTCTTCAAAGTAAAATATAAAAATTGATTTTAGTAAATTCATTAACATAATTTTAAAATGCAATTTTTCTCATTACTGAAACTTAATCTAAATTATAAATTATTATATTTTTAATGAATTTCTATCTTGAAAGGTATGGTAAAGTATTTTATAGTGTCGTACAGTACATTAAAATTATATTATATTAAAAATATACTGTTAATTATATTTATAAAGTTATTAGTCTTCCATTGAGATATAAGAAGACTAGAATACACACATTTAAATTCTTTAGAAGTGCAGAAAGCTAAGTAGGAGTTGATACAGAGATAACTGTGCTTATCCCAAACCAGATGCTGCAATTTTTGGCAGGAATCCAAAAAAAAGTAGTCACATGGTCAAGGATTCGATTTTATGACGAAATTGTCAGAACAGAATATTTCATTATTAATATTAAACAAGCCTAAACAAAAAACTTTATCGTCTTTTGTCAATTAAATAAATATCCGTCAACATTGCCTGACAGAAAAATAAAATATGTAAAAATTAGTAGAATAATTATAATTTAAAATTACCTGATAAATTTGTAATTAATAGGTTTAAGAGGCCATCATTAAGAATAAAATGACGTAGTCATCTTTTCTATATTGTCATTTAATTCATCAGTTACAATTGTAATTAAACTTTCATAATTGGAATTATCAAGAATTAGGAATTTTCAATGTAATAAGTTAATGTTGCAAAACTTTAAACTTTATTAATGTAAATTGACAGATTTAATTTATTATATTTTTCATATTCTGAAAACTTTCTAAGATCAGCAAAATTAGTTTTAATAGTTTTTTTTGGGAATTTAGTGGCTAACCGAACAGGTGTTTTAAATTATTTCTACACCAGTATCGATCAATCAATAATGAATGAATCGCAGTTCAATCTAAAATGTTATTCTATTTTATGTCCGATAAATGGTTTTAGTTGCTCGATAACTCTTTTATTTGATCGTTAAACAGCAAAATAGTAAAGATATCACTTTTATCATCATATATTTCTTTGTTTTCTTCTCAAAAATAACACTAATGATATCAAAAATAATAAAAAGTAAATTATAAGATTATTATTTATAATTTGATTATTGTTTCTATTATAACTTTGTTATTTAAATCCTGTTTATTTGTGGCTATAATCGATTGTTTTGTACGAAAATACATAATAGAACATTAAAATGGTGTCCCTTGTGTAATGATTAGTGACAACATTCGAGGAATGTTCTTGACAACCGTCATTACCGAGGGTGACGACATGTCTGTCACTAATTTGTTCTCCTAAAATAGAGAAACCGGAAAATTCATTTCATTTATCTTGGGATTACCTTGTCTTGTTAGCAACTTTCATTTATTTAATTCACAATTTTCTAAAGTTGTGCCTAAATATAAGCCAGATAATTTGTGAGTAGTGTAATTATTTTTATGGCTAAAATGTTTCGGATCTTGATAAGTCATATTCATTCCTTAAATATAATGTAGAAGCAATCCTGATCATTTTCACTTTCTAGACACAGATAAATCTATCTTCAATATAAATTATTGTGTATTTTTATTATATTATCACCATTATATTTATATATTTCTTACTGGAAGCTAAGTAAAATATCTTTATTGGCACAATAAGGTTAGAGCATTATTTAACTGTATCTCAATTTATTCTTCCAGTTTTCTTTCTTTATTATGCATCTACATTGGATTTCCATTATTACTATACATTGATATCGATCGAGTTTCGCACTCATTTTCATTGATTTTTACAATTAAGTAGAGATTATAAAATACATAACTGTAAAAGTTATCAAATAAAAAAATATATTTTAAATCATCTTAACTTATTTTTTGCTAATTTTAATAGTTTAAAAACCTAAAATTTTATTACCGAGAATTTGATAGTTTATCATTATTACATTTAATATAGTGAAGACTCGCGGAGCCATCTTTTAATGATAAATTGACGCCATTATGTCTTAACGCATAAATAAATATATTGGATAATAAGAGTTATAATTATTAAATCTATAAGTAGAATCAATAACAATTTTTTAAATTATATGTAAGTAGCAGTATCTGGAGATGTGTTTAAGATCGCTAAATTTATATTATAAGAGATAAAGAAAGTTCAGCAGCCAATAATTAAAAGCGAGTAGCGTGCTCTCAATTGAATTGACTCGTGAGTACTGAAACGACTGATGTCAAATCATATTTAGAAGCAAAGATATTTCGTAAATCAATGTAAATTTAGAAAAATGTAGAAATCCGATAAATGATAAATCAATCTTTCTTATTGAATTTCATTAAGCAGAAAAAAAAATGTGATTTGCAATGTAATTTAAATTAAATTATCAAAAATAAGGTCAATTTAAACAGCTAGAATTTATTTAGTTAAATTATTTTATAAATAATTCTACAGGAAATCGTTCACTTATAGGAATATTAATTAAGTGAATTTCAAACTTTTGAAAGCGATAGGTTTTAAACTAAAACTATAGAGTGACCATATTGTTTATAGCTTAAACCGAAAATGCTTTTATAAGAGCGCGTGAAAAAGAGCCTAAAAATGGCTAAACTAAGATTATTATTTTTTAAATTATTGACCTAAAATTGCTTATATTACATTAAAAGATCTATAAAATGGTTCTGTTTTAAATTTTATTCTATTTTTGAGAATTAAAAACGAGAAAATCCGGGACTCTTCCAGATAAACCTGGACGTATGATCTCCCTAATTAAAATCCAATTTTAAGAAAGAAGAAATTCAAAAATCCGTAGAAATTTATTGCTACACAAGCTTATACAATCTCATAAATTGTATATTATTTTAATATAAATATTCATAATAATTGCTATATTTTTATACTTTATATAATTTTACGAAAAAAATATTGATTACTCGTACATTGATAAATGAACAGATTAATGAATAATTATTAATTTAATTGCGTATTTATTTTTAATAACATACTTAAAAATTAATTTTACTTATTAAAATTTTAGTTTTTATATGTAATTTATTATGCTAAGTATGTAATAAAATTTAATAATATTGAAGTATTATTTGTCGTGTTTATACATTTATTTAAAAACTATTAATCAATTTTAATTTTTTCGTTTATTTTATATACAGTAATTATAAACGAAGATGTATATATTTATATAATCAATCTGAAATTATATATTAACAGATTATAACAAGATTCTTCAGTAAATATGCTAAATTAGTAACTACTAAATGAAATGAAACGTTACGTTACATTTTATATTCTTATCAATTGTAAATGCCACAGAGAGAGAGGATGGAGAGAGAGAGAGAGAGAGAGAGAGAGAGAGAGCGTTAACAATGTTAAAATATTATTTATAGAGTTTTTATTTTAATTTTCGTATTTTAATACATGAATGTAGATAAATCTGTAGGTTACGTTTATATATACAATAATTCATAATCATGATTTGAGATGCTATATTATTGAATATTGTACTCAGAGATGGGTCAATGTATCCAAGAAGCAATTATTGACCGAATACTACTTTTGTTTCATCGATCTACTCTATATAGATTAAATTTAGATTCATTCGAAAAGAATTTTTTTTTTTAAATCTACTTGCTATTAAACTTAATGAATATTATCAATTTTGGCAAATGTTTTCGTTAGAAATCACACATTAGAAATTATCTTAATCAAATCTAGTTTTCTTTATTATTTGCTAATTTAAATTAACGTATCAGAAAGTAAAGACTGAAATAAACTGGAAATTCATTTACTGCATTTTTGGTAAACAAAATGTCATATTAACAATATTATATAGCTAGAAGTTAGGAGCCTTAAGGGAACGTTACTAAAGTTTGTATTTCTCGTCAAAGTATGTGCAAATTATGATATAAATTAAATATTTTATTCAACGATTAAATATTTTTAATTCCTTTTGAATTTGACTTTTAATTTCAAACTTAAAAAGAACAAGAGCAAACTCTCAATGGTTTCTAATTACGTACTATAATTGTAACATCAGTAATTTAGTAATTATGTCATCTTGCAGTATATATAACGCTTTTTATAAAGAAAATAATGTGACAAATATTTATCACATATTCTAATGCTATTTTTAGGCATTTTCCTTTGTTTTAACGATTTCTGAATTTTATGCATTTGTTTTTCCTTCCACTTTTTTGTAAGTCACACTTCTTGGAAACTATAGAAACTAAACGCATTTGTTAGGACCCTTCTTGGAATTTCATTTAAATATAACTGAATGAATTTAAATATTGAATATTTCACACTTAACACATAAGAATTATTTCTTTTTGTTGTGCTGCAATTTAAAAAAACTGTAGACTTATACATTGCTGTCTGCTTGTCCTTCCTTAATCTCAAGAAGGCGTTAGATACATGAAAGACGAGACCACATATGAAAATCTAAGTTTAAGGGCACGAGGACCCGATTAACTATATATGAATTTCCGGTTTTCACAGGCAGTCACGTTATTTCAATTCAAAACTTCCCCTGAAAGGAGTTAGATAGATGACCGGCACGACTCTATAGCTAACGGAAAAGTATGATGTACAGGGGCAAGACATTACAGTACTAATTTGAGGTATAGAGCATATATATTACTGTAAATGAAATAAATTAAAAATATGATTAAAAATTGCAGCCCGGAATTGTGACGATGTGACAATAAATAATTGCTCGTTGGCATTTAAAATATTTTAAAAGTTTATCTATACATTCAAAATTAAGCCTTTATTTTATAATTTTATAATCATTAATAATATAAAAGTTATTTTTTAAAATAACATCTCGTAATATATGGAACCACACGCAATTTTAACTTTGAGTTAGTGTCATAGTATTTTTTAAACTTAAAGATTTTTTAAAAGCAGATTTTATCATAATTCAAGAAAATTACTCCTTTAAAGCTTTTGTTATTACTTAAATTTTTTATCCTAGTATAAATGAAAATTATCAGACTTCCTAATGTTTCCTTTAACCGCCTGCTCGAGTGCCGGGAAGCAAGAGTTGAATAAAAGTCCTTACCAACTTTTTCTTTATACTTTACATAAAAATTCTACAGCAATTAAAAATTCACTTTTAATCATTTAAAGAGAATCTTTTAGTTACTATTAAAGGCGTAACTAGTCTTATTACAAAAAATTGTTTATTTTATATTTAACATAACAATTTAATATATGACGTTATTAACAAAATTTAATATAGAATAAAGATGTCTTAACGCATAAATAAATATATTGGATAATAAGAGTTATAATTATTAAATCTATAAGTAGAATCAATAACAATTTTTTAAATTATATGTAAGTAGCAGTATCTGGAGATGTGTTTAAGATCGCTAAATTTATATTATAAGAGATAAAGAAAGTTCAGCAGCCAATAATTAAAAGCGAGTAGCGTGCTCTCAATTGAATTGACTCGTGAGTACTGAAACGACTGATGTCAAATCATATTTAGAAGCAAAGATATTTCGTAAATCAATGTAAATTTAGAAAAATGTAGAAATCCGATAAATGATAAATCAATCTTTCTTATTGAATTTCATTAAGCAGAAAAAAAAATGTGATTTGNAAAAAAAGAAAACTTTTAGTAATTTTTTATCTTGTATTATAATTTATGTTTTTATAGAATAGAAGAAAATTTAATGTTCTTGACAGAGCTGACAAAAATATCTGATTATAACTTCTTTATAAAGTTCTGATTATATAAATACCTTATTAGAATCTAATTTTATAAATTGAAGTTTATAAAAATAGGAAAATTATTAATTAATTTCATTTTATTTTATTTAGATGACATCTACTTATATATAACATTTTGTCATTTTAAGTTACACGTCTTAAGCTTCATCATCATTTTATCTATTGATTTTGATTGTATTTTTCCAATAATTCTTTGTCAAAATCCTCTTGGATCCTTTCATTCCTTATATACTATTTAAGCATGTGCTAATAAATACTCAAAGTTTTTATGACTGTACTTGTCTTTCCTTCACCATTCCATCTATTCAGAGTGGTAATAAAGATTTTCGAAGCTTCCCTGTTATCCAAGACAGAGCAATTTAGCAAGAAAGTTCAATTGTGTTGTTTTTTCGACAGTCAAGAAAAATGTTCAAATCATTAGCCCTGAGAGAAATTGCTATCTTAAAATTCTTAAACTAGTATACATGATCATTTATAGAATTTGTTGTTTACAGTGTTTACTGAAGAATTTAAAACTTTTAATTAAAGAAAAATATTAGATATATATCGTTTTAGCTTGGAAAACATTTTTGAAGTTCTTAAATTACATTAAAAATAATATTAAACAAAATTAAAGAATAAGATATGTTTAGTCTATTTAAAATACATTATCTTGATATATTAATAGGAAATTCTCATATTATCTGGCTAAAGAAAGGTTTTTCTGAAAATATATTTGATGAACTTATCAAATTCTTCAATTTATTTAAAATATATTTATTTCTTTATACTTCTGAAGCAACGTGAATAATAGTAAAGTAGATGAAGTCGTGGATTCAATGAAAGATTTCTTTTTCTTAACAGTTAAATGTCTGTAGAATCTCGTACACCAGAACATTGTTTATCTACTTCAGTATAATGGAGGCCACAGGCAAATTCGCAAACAAAATTATCCAGTTTGACGGTATTGATCATATCGATTCACCTGAATCACTCAATTAGATAAGAAATGCAATCTAAGACAAATTTAATATTCCATTTTTCACTTTATTATTTAATTAATATAAAAATTAAATAGTTAATGAAGTTAAAAATAAACGTTTAGAAATTTTAATAAGTAGCTGGTTTATTATGTAAATACATAGATTTAATATTCTAAAGTAGAGAATTTTAAATTGAGATGATTATAATTAATTCTTGTTTGCTGGCTCTCTATTCTTAAGAATTAACATATTAAAATTTTTAAATTAATCTGGATAAGTTTTTCATTATATCCGCATTAAAATGTTATCTAAATATAAAACTCTTCCTAATATATTCTTTAGTAATTTATAATGATATTCGAATATGATTTGCAAGTAAAGTAATTTGCATACTTTTCAAATGAGCAATTTACAGGCAACATACAATATTATTTTAGTAAAAGACTGATAGTCCTACATTTATAAATGAAAAGTAGACAACTAAAGCGTAAAGACGGAAGGATGCTTAATGGGAGAAGATAACATGGAGAGTAATAGAGCTGGTGAGGATGAATGGTGTGACATTACTGCTAGTATTAAGAAAGATCATTTTCGTGTCTACCACATTTCACCTAATGGATACGTGTGATAGTCAAATTATCAACTTGTAAACAAGTATTCGCTGTATGTAATGTACAATAAATAAAAACTTTTGTAAGTTCATAATATTTTTTGCCAAATATTTTAAGCTTCACAAATATTTTCTTTCATTTTTAGTTTTAAGTTAAAATGACACAAAAAAAACCTAATGTAAATTACAGTTATTTCTGAAGATTTACGAGTTTTGGTAAAAGGAATTTCAGGAAATATTTTAAGAATAACGCAGAGATCTTTTTATTACGGATCCATGATATCATTTTTTAAATGAATATATAAATAAATATTATCTTAAAAATTTCGATTCGTGTTTATTTTTAAATTCAAAATTAGTAGTTAAAAAGTGCGCTTAAATAAATATTTTTGAAAATTTATATGTTTACATTTTAAGAACATTTAATAAAAAATGAAATTTATAGCTGATAAACATTATTTATGAATTTATACTACAATTCTCTTAATGACTTTCATATTGATTCAACTGAGTTAACAAATTGTAAAAAATTATCTACGATATCAGATGATTAATATGATTTAAATGGCATTTTTTTAAACATTTTACTTTCTAAAGCATATGTTATTTTTTTAGTTCTTTGAAGATGTTTTACCCTTTTTTTTAAATACAGTGGTGTTAACTCTATTTTCCAATTTCCTGCTCAAAAAGCAGAAAATAATAGGAAATATAGGCCTATATATATTATTATTACATTAGTTTCGTTTACTTTTACTTCTCTAAAGTAAAATTGAGTTTTTGATTAGATGTTTTATCTTTATTTGTATTATTTGATTGAAAAATTATGATATTTTTTTTTAATGCTGAATCGTTTGTATCAACTCAATGGTTTTCTATACTGTTGATATAAATGAAGAAATAAACTAGTGTATAACTTATCGAGAAAGATTTCACTAGATGAAGTAATCTCTTTTGGGAAAAACACGGAAGAATTTATTCAAGATTTCACAGAAACGCACTTTGATTTTGAATTTGTAATTTAATGAGGTTTCGTCAAGATAAATCCTTAGTCGATTCTTAAAGAATTAAATGAAGATGAATTCGTGTCTAATTAACGTCGGATTTTTTTTTTGTTTTTTCAAATTAAGATCGAATATCTAATTTATAATTAAGTTAAGTGATTCATTAAAATGATTCGCTAGTTTAATTATTGAAAATTTATCTTTGAAATTGTATAGATATTTTTTTAGTTTAATCAACTAGGGTTTTTTTTACATTTATATTGATCAGTGTAATTTTTGCAAGTTTTTCTAAACTATTAAAAGTGCTTAGAAAACTTACTGAAACTGAAAATGTTGAGGATTAAATTAAAAGATTCAAGAAACTGAAATTTGTCAACTTTCAAAATTGATACTAGCTTTAATAATTTTAATCATAGCTTATAAAGTTTCGAAATGAAAATAATCAAATAAATATTTTAAAAAATGCTAATATAAAATTTAATTATTATTTTATAATTTGTAAAATAAAAATTTAAATTATACAATTTTTAATTTTATNGTCTCCAACACAAACTATATGTGTATAATGAACATTAAAATTAAATAAGATATATATTTTATATTTAATAATTTTAAAATATCTATCTTTATTTTGTTCTTAATTGTATATTCGTTAATAAAAATAAATATCAAAATATATTAGAAATTTTATAATTCATATATTGTAATACTTTGAACTTGAAATATTTATTAAGCATTTTTATAAAACTATAACATCAGAAGACTGAAATATTTTAAAGAAAACTAAAATGTTTTTAAAGATAAATTTAAAAATCATTAAATTTTAAGAAATAAATCATACATATTACAGATAATGTGAGAAGATATCTTTACAGCAAGATGAAATGCTTCGATAAGCTAAACTACGAGCCCAAGACTGTATAGGCCTATATGTTTATGCCAATAACACAAATGTATCATTATACCAATAAGAAAATGAGAATTAAACTTATCCTAAAAGTAATTAACTTTTTTGGCTCACATAATAGAAAAATTAACGGAAAGATCTGTTATGTATCTGACTAGATTTTTTAAATGATGGTCAGATGTCGGGCAAATATCTACTCTCTTTCTCTCCTCTTCTCCCGTTCTTTCTCTCTTCCTCTCTTTCTCTAACACATTTCTAATAAATATTGTTAGAAATACAGACGACAAGCTCAGGATAAATAAGATTCATGTTTGGGTAACATGCCAGCACTATAATTACTTTCTACACTCTCATCATCTATCTTCTACCGTAATATACTGTATGCAAACAGAAAATTTTGTTGCATTTTCACAAAAGATACAAAGCACTACCAAATACGTTTTGAAATAAGTGACAAGAATTAAATGCTTTCACAGCAATTTGGTAATTATAATCGAGTTGAGCATTTACGTAGCGAATAATAATGCAAACACAGAAAAATGGTAAACATTTCTGCATAAAACAAGTATATATCAGACGTCAAACTAAGATTCCCATCTAAATATCCTTAAAAATTTCGTCACCATTTTTTAAAATCTATCTGTGAAAGACAAGATTCAGAAGTGCGAAATAAATGCCTTTTAGACATAAATTAAAGCAAACATGAAATATATTGAAAAGGTCTATCGAAGTAACACTACAGCAACATTCTGTCAGATTCATTCAAATCGATCATTCGTCAAGGCAAGAAGACTAACAAAATTGAAATTAAACGAACTTGAGTTTGTGGAAAATCTACGTTCGTTTTGTCTTAGCTTTAAAAATGAAACTAGAAATCCAATAGGAACTCGTATATTTCCTAATATTATAGCCGGTAATAGTGAAACAAATCATTTTATTTATCATTGAAAAAAATTTTGTTAGCAGACAACAGTATTAAAAGTAAAGTGCTTTTTAAAGACATTGTTTAGAAAGCACTGATTCGTACTTTTGATAAATTAATGCTTTGATATCTATTGTATTGATCTCGTATATTAACTTTTTACTTCATAATGTTATCAATATTTTGAAATAATTGTTTTTGGGATAAGCTTATACACGTATATATCTTAAATTTCAAATTACAAATAATCTTGATATACTTGTTATAACGAAAACTAAACATTAAAAACTATTGACAAACTAAAACTCACAAGAAAATTAAAAAATAAACTATGTTAAGAACATAGTTATATATTTTGTGGTCATTACTGTATATACTCTTACCATCCGTAGATTGGCTACAATTAGTGGAAACATGTAGCATTAATATGAAGTGATCATTGTAATACAATAATAACAATTACTTCACATTAACACTATTATAATGATTACTTCATATTAATGCTATATGCTTCAAGTTACGGCATCCACTCTTCAATTGGTAAAAGCGCTTTCGATAACGATCGTGGCAATAGTTGAGAAATGAAATGCACAAAATCAGGCATAAATTTGATATTCCAAAATAATTAATCCAATATAAATATAAAAATCCATTGTAGACTTTCACACGTTCTTCAAAAAATCGCTCAAATTTTAATTGATATTTGAATCTCGGATTCAGCATTCAACTTAAATTAGTTGTAATATAGCCTATACTAAATCATACACATGTAATATAAACTATATACATAGGTCATATGCAAATAATATGTACTGTACTTAACATGTACTAATTCCAATACTTTTAAGGCTGAGATACGAAATTCCGTATTCAGAATATGTAGATCATTACAAAATCTGTTTTATAATTTGTATAATACAGTGATTGAAGTTGAGTACTATATGTTAGGTTAAGTGTATATATCAAATATGTTATAACAATTGATATACAGTGGTGCCTCGTATAACGTATTTAATCCGTTCCAGGTGCACGTCTGTTAAGTGAAAAGTCCGTTATACGAAAAGCATTTTCCCATAGAAATACATGTTAAAACATATAATTCGTTCCGAAGCATAAAATAACCATACTGTACTGTACCATAAAAAAAATAAAAACGGAGCAGTCACCAATTATGCCGAGTAGTCAGATGTTGTGAGGAGGAGGTGGAGGAACATTTTCTTCACACATTCATACAGATACAGACTTTTTACACATTGCAGTAGGTCCTTTTTTTATTGTTTTTTAATCGGAGTCAGATTCAGGAGAGGCTACCCGAGCTTGCAGGGTCAACTCCTCTTGTTCCATCCTTTGTTTTTTGCCTGCTGGCTTCTTGAAAAACATGTCCAAGGTGGTCTGTTTCTCTCTCTTCTTCAACATCTGTCGGAAATGACGGGCAAGGGTGTCATTGTAGAGATCATTGATCCTGTTGGTCTCAGTTCTGTTTGGATAATAAGTGTTGGTAAACTCATGAACCTCTCCCCATTTGACAGAGAAGTTTTTGTTAACTTTCACTCCTTCTGATGATTTCTTGCTTTGTTTCAATTGAAATCACCTTTCCGTTTTTTAGAAGCCAAGATTTGCACAACACTTGAATAAATGTAAATACCCTGCACTGAGGTGATGTACAGTACGTAAACAAGGGAGCAAGCCGAATCCCAACGGGAGCTCTGTACTTCAGATATACAGTGGCGTAGCGAGGGGGTGCAAGGGGGTGTATCATGCACCGGGCGCCCCTCTGCGAGTGGCGCCCAAATGGTCTCCAACACAAACTATGTGTTTCTGGAAGGGGGAGGGGCGCCAATAAAGTGTCGTGCTCCGGGCGCCAGTTATGTTCGCTACGCCACTACTAATAATATTTTCTAATAATACTAATATATTATAAAAATAGCAGATTGTCATTGGCAACGGCAAAAGAGTGAAAACATTATTCGCACTTGTTCGCAGAAAGTTTGTTCTTCGCCTCATGTAACTGCCGAACGGAAAGTCCGTTGCTCGAGTCACGTAACGGCCAAACAGAAAGTCCGTTGTTCGCAGCCAGTCCGTTGCTCGAGTCACGTAACGGCCAAACAGAAAGTCCGTTGCTCGAGTCACGTAACGGCCAAACAGAAAGTCCGTTGTTCGCAGTGTCCGTTATTCGAGGCGTACTGTACGTTATACGAGGCACCACTGTATACATATGACCTAACTTATTTCAATCTCAGTTACAAGTTAATTGACAACTAGATTGAAATTTTGATTATTTCCAAAATTTTGATTGATCCAAAATAATTAAAAATTGATAATTTGGGTATTCCAAAATAATTAATCCACACAAAGTTTAGAACCCATTTAAGACTTTTACGCGATTGTTCGTAGTCTTCAATCGGTTTTAACTTTATATGGATTGATTATTTTGAAATATCAAATTTATGCGCGATTTTGTGTATCTCATTTGTCAACTATTGCCACGATCGTTATCGAAAGCGCTTTTACCAACCGAAGAGCTGTTGCCGTAACTCGAAACATATAGCATTAATATGAAGTAATCATTATAATAGTGTTAATGTGTAATGATTTGTATAATAATATTAATGTGAAGTAATCGTTATTATTGTATTATAATGATCACTTCATATTATTGCTAGACGTTTCGAGTTATGGCAGCCAATCTACGGATAGTAAAAATGTGCGCAATAATGATCATTAAATGTATGGTCAATCATTGAAAACAAAACTTTAATTCAGTTAAGATATAAAAAACAGAACTTATTTTTGTTAATCAATATTCTATTTTTTGTGGTAACAGTGGTAATTCTATGACGAAATTAATTCTCGGATATAAAAAAATTGTAAATGAAAGGAGAAAACGGTTGAATATTATAGAAAACGACTGTTTTACTGTATCTCCGTATCATACTAAATTAACTTCTGTTTCAATTAAAAAATAAGTAGGCCTACATTTCACTGTTTAGTCAATTCAATTGTACAGTACGTTTGATAACCGATGATTATTTAATAACACGATACTTAAATGATGTTCGTTTTTTTTACTATGTTCATTAAAAGTTCGTGTAATTATCTATTTGCTATATATCTTCAGCAATAAGGGTTTTCCTAAATGTAATAAAATTGATCGATTGATTCCGATACTTTACGTATTCTAAAAGTTTATAAAATTGACTATAGATAAGTGAGTTCCGTAGAAAAAAAATCAAATTCTTTTACAGCTTATTCGTTATCATAAAGATAAATAATAATAACAATAATAAACGTAAAGTTAATATTTTAATCAAATGAAGCCATATAAACATGTATATTAACAAAATGATTTAATTATTTTTAAGTTAAAAATGAATATATTTATTTTATTTTGCTGATTTATGGAGAAGAAATACATTTATAATTATGAAAAATATCTAATATATATTTAAAAATAAGAAGAAATCTATTTATATAAATATTTTTATATTCATAATTAATTAATTGCGAGAATAGACTTCTACGGTAACAGTTATTATTGTACGCAAGTATTCATAGTTTAATATATGTTTAATTTTGTATACAAAGTGACAAAAAATAAATTTAAGAAAGAAAAGAAACATTAGAACCAGTGGCTTATTAAACACAATTTTCCAATTATTGTAATATTTGAAATTAATTACTTCTATACTCAAATAATCTGTCTCGAAGAATCTGAATCAGATTCTGACTGGACTTTCTTAATTCTTGATTGGGAACTAACGTCAAAGCTTCTATTTCATTTGCCAATAATTTTCTCCATAACAAGTAAAACACACAAAGGTTAATTGTGTGAGATCTGAATGAGATTTATCAATGAAAGGCTTCCAATCTAAATCTACTTAATCATAACAAGTAGCTTATGTTGTTTGTTTTAAAATGTTTAAAATAATCACCAATGGCACTAAAATTTTACTATATTTATCAATTGTAAAGTAAAATGTCTTTAAAATAGCAAATTTGCAATTACGAACAAGGCAGAAAATATTCCAAATTTTTCACTTCTAGATCAGATATCGTATTTGTAACATTATTATACATAAATAATTCAATGTAAAAAAGTCTGTTTTAGAATTTTAATTTTCTTATATAATTATCTTTCTTTGGCTTCTAACTTATGTTGAGAAAGTATTTGTATATTATATCATTTCTAGAATAAAAAGCATAATAAAAAATAAAAGAAAATGCAATAAAAAATTTAATACAAGAAATATTCAAATAATCAATATATCTTTTTTTTTTTTTATAAATCTCGAACAGAATTCCGAAAACTATACATCAGAATAATAGCGAAAGGACGAAAACGTTTCATATATTTGTAAAATTGGATTTTTCTAAACGAATTAAATTAGTTAATTCCTATAAAACTAATATATAAAAGCAACAAATAATAAATGTATTTCGAGAGAAAATCAAACTTTAGGTATGTAATAAACCAGATATATCATACCGAATAAAAACTCAAATATATAAATCGATCCATTGAAGGAAAATAATCGAGATATATACCTATAAAAATGATTTTAAAAAATATTTTAAAATGTATTCACAAATAGGAAATTGATATTCTTTATTGCTCTAGTAGGTAGGCCTATATATGGCTATTACTAACTTCTCTGCTTAGAAATATTACAGATTTTTCAATAGTTTGAGACTTTGCATAACTTTTAAAAGGTTACTAAATTAAGGTTACTATATATAATATATACATTTTAAATTAATTTACTGATTAATTAAAAATGTTAAGTCACAAATTAAAAATAATAGAGAAGTATAAATTAATCGATATTCTAATTGAAGAAGAAATAAGGATAACACAACATTAGTCTTAGATAAGTTTTGAATTTATTTTATAATTATCAAGTTCGTTGTTTTATTAAAAATTTATTTAATTGAACAGCGCAAAAATTATGAAACTTATTACAAGTCAACACATTACTTGCTAATTGGATGCAATTAGATCCTTATTACTTCAAATCGGATATATATTGTCATTTTAATC